AGAACTGATGAAGCCTCTTGGATGAGAGGTGAAATGTCTTCGACCTAAAAATCTAGTCAAGTTGAGTTTTTTCTAAGTTTTTTAGCTAGAGAGACATTGGACAGGTATCATGTTCAAAGATAAATAGCCAACAGAATACACAGAGAAGTGACCTTATTTTGGCTGAATGGTAAAGATGTAATGTATATATGTAGCTATCATTTTCAACCACACTTTGTTTCCCTTCTCACTGTTACACTTTTATAGCATGAAGTGGTGCATTCAGTCACACACGCAGTCCGCAGTGAAGGTAGTATCACCTTGTTGTGTAATCAACATTACATGCATGTAGTCTAGTTTCACACAGTCAGGTATGTATGCACACACCCACACTCATGTCTGTACAACTAACTTTGTGAGGGCCTACCTAATCCCAACCTTCACCCTAACCTAAACCTGATTCTAACCTTAGTCCCAGAGCCAAAATGTAACCCTCAAACAGCCATTTGAATGTAAAGTGAGGACTGTCCAAAATGTCCTTACTCTCATGGTATAAAATTCAAACTGGTCCTCACGGTGTACTGTACAGGCATCATGTGCTAAGATAATTAACCAACAGAATAAATAGAGAAGTGATCAGTTTTTTGACTCAAGTAGAAGGATGTATATGTGCATCTATCATTTTCAGCCACACTGTTAGCTCACTGTCTCACCATTATAGGATGCAGGAGTACTACTGTGGCAGTATAAGTACACATACATGAGTGATCATTAATAGGTGGTTCAGAGATTTTCATTCTGTCAAACATTATTTAATGTTGGAAAGATGAGTTGAGACATAGTATTGCTGTTTTAGTTTACAGTTAAATGAACAATAAATGACAACATGATGCTTAGCCTGTGTTCAGACTGAGTTTCGAAGGTGAAAAACACTCCATTATTTTCTATGAGGGATTGCGTTCACCGCAGCCGGCACCAGCACTGCAGAGTGCTCTGGCAAAACAGTGCAGTCCCGTTTGGCAAAAAAGTTGGATCTGGTTTAGCTTTTGCTGCACTGGATACTGACATCATTTGTCAAAGGCACTGCCTTGACCAAACTTGTACAGGGGACAGTCGGAATGTGGACACCAACAGGCAGAAGACTCTTTTGTTTACCTTATTAGCGTGAGCATTTACTCTCAAATGTGGGGCCACACTTACAAACACATCATAACAAAATAACATGCATTTTAATTAGTTAACCTACCGGATGTTAAATTGTTTATTTTTTATCTATGAATGCTGACACACTGGTGGTAGAAATTTGTTCTAACATAGAGTAGGCTACAGTATGTGTTAAATGGGGTTTTCAATGTTAATTTTAGATCGCTGTCAGCTCCAGAATCCAGATCAGATCTGGATGAAATTTGGTCTGGTGATAGACATTGGTATCTTACATATGTGTGTCAAATTTCAAATGATTTTTATACATTTTGATGGGCATGAATCTTTAAAAATGTTGCCCCATGTTAAAGATGGGAATTTTTTTTGGATTTTTTTTAATTTTATTTTTTGTGACCTTGACCTTTGACCGTTTTCAGATAAAAGCTCATTCTACAGCTGGTCCCCACTAATGTCTGTACCAAGTATGCTGATGACCCATCCCACCGTTTGTCCGTAATCCTGCTGACCAACAAACAAACACACACACACTGAACCAAAACATAACCTCCTTGGCGGAGGTAATTAACCCCTCTCTAGTTTAAACAAAAATTGAACACTATAACTATCATGGGCTAAGATTTTCTGTAGAACTGTTGCATGTATTGTGCATGGGCTACATGATGATATCTGTGTGATATTTGATCCTTTGATTTGAATGAAAAATGGTTACACATGCTACACCTGTGTTATGTCTTGAAAAGGTCTGAAAAATCTTACATTCAGTTTTGATTACTGTGCAGCAACCATGTGAAATAAGAAGACAAAATTAGGGACAAGTGCCAATTTGACTAGAACTTTCTCACATATTCTCTCTCTCTCTCTCCCTCCCTTGTCTCTTCCATGTCCCGATTTTGAGTCCTGAAGAATACTCCATGTTTATAACTGACAGTCAAAAAAGACCTATTGTGTTGCAAGATGGCATTTTGCCAGTACTGCTGCTCTTTAGTGACGCAGATTTTCTGCTTGTTACTGTATCAGTCTTTATTTATTCAAGTTGAAACAGTGTGAGATTTGGAACTGCTTCAGACATTATGAGATTGTTTTGTTCATTAAGTCCAAGCTGACAGGTTGAATGTGTAGTAGCTGACAGGTAGGAGGTTTTTCATTTTTGCATAGAACTCATCCAGCAAAGATTTGGCACCAGTGTCACGTGCACTGAAGCAGTGGGTCTGAGGAATATTATTAGCAACCAGACTGAAAAGGGGTTTTCCAAAGCTGTTTTTGCACTGCTAACACTGGAGCAGTATATATACTGTAGAATTTATAATTAATTAATCAATTATATACACTTGATTAAATATATCTTTCTAAAATTTGGACCCATCCACTTTGCCCCAAGAACAGCCTGAATTTTTGGTGTCATGGATTTGATAAACAAGGCAATCAATGTTTCTGAGAGATTCTACTCCATCTTTAAATTAGAGCATTACACAGTGGCTACAGCTTGTACATGTGTGAAACTGTTTGTACTGCTGTTGACTAAAAGATAAATAAGATAAAAATAAATGTGGTCTTTTGTTATTCTTCTGCTGGTGACAGAGCAGGTCTTCAGACAGGAAACAGTACTGTAGTACAAAAAAACAGAAACACCAGTGGATATATTTGTGCCAGATTACTTGGTTTGAAGATTTGTCCGATACTAAATACTATGAAACTGTACCGTACAACTCCGCAAAGTTATCACTGTGACATGAATAAATCTTTTGTCTTGACAGTTGCAATGGAAACTATAATATGAAGCTGTTCGTGTTACTGAGTAAACTACCAGGAATGTGCACTTGCATTGGATTGGTACTGCAACAATTTGCTGTATGATGTTACATTTTAATTTGGATGAAGTTTTAACCTGTTTCAACTCCAACATGATGCTTTTTCTTTCTTTTTCTTTTTTTTAGGCCACGTACCTCTGTCTTTAGTCTTTAGTGTGTAAATGCAGCAAGCTGCAGTCTAATTTAAACATAGCCATAGTGTGTAACTGTGGTTGACTGTGTGTGTTGCAGGATAACGGTGAAGACTCCCATCGTATCTCTCCCAGTCCTGTGGTCCACGTTAGGGGTCTTTGTGAAGCTGTGGTGGAAGCAGACCTGATAGATGCCCTGGAGAAGTTTGGACCCATATGGTGAGAGAGCGACCACTGTGTGAGAGAGAGACAAAGCAACTGAGTCTTATATCTATTCATCCAATCTCTAAACTGCTTATCCTGTTCTTTGGTTATGAGGGTCTGGAGCTTGCATGTATCCCAACATGCATTTGATAAGAGTTAGTGTACAGCATGGAGAGACAGGTCAGGCTTGTGTGGTTTGGTGATTAGTAACCTGTTTGTGCTCCCCATTCCATCTGATCCTGTGCACTGAAATGTGCTTGCACAGTCTGAGCCTGCATCTTCATTCTCCATATGCATGTTGCTGTTGCAGGAAGGTGTGTGTCCACTGGGTTCTTGAGCCAGGTGTAACAATTGCTCTTTTCTCTGCTTTGCTATTTCTAAGTGCGGGTCTACTTATGGAGGCTGGCTCACATCTCAAGCCGAAGCCTGAAATCCACTTGAGAAGCTGTATGCCAGTAATAATTGACAGTTGGCTTAAATTTTTTTTCCAACTATTCACTAAAGAGCTGCTTTTTGTGTGTCATGAAAACACAGATGATTGCCCAACTGTATTGAGCAGTCGATCATGGAGCTGACACATCTGTACAGAAAGAGAGAACATATTCACACCAACAGAACAGTTTTGCCACTTCACTTAACCTGGGTCATAGCTGAGCCACTGATCAGTTATCATTCAGTAGTCTTGTCAAAACCATACAGGTATGACTCCCTAGTGCATATGTGTCAAACTTAAGGCCCGTGGGCTGAATGCGGCCCACCGGATCATTTTATGTGGCCCTTAAAAGCTTAAAATGTGTATGGTTGTCTTAAAATAAAAGTCTATACTAATTGAAAACGTACACTGACCATAAACTACATCTCACACAATGCATGTCGATTCCGGGACCCGCGAAGTATTTAGGAGGAGGAGAAGCAATTAGGGTGAGCTAGGGACAGGAAGTTGTGTCAGAATAAAAGCAGGACCAGAAGCTGACGGCGCAGGATCATGACAGGCTTGATGTTATTGTTGAGGAAAAAATATCCATCCATCCATCTTCGTCCGCTTTATCCGAGACTGGGTCACGGGGGGCAGTAGTCTGAGCAGAGCCCCCCAGACTTCCCTCTCCCCACACACCTCCTCTAGCTCCTCAGGAGGAACCCCAAGGCGTTCCCTGGAACTGACACCTTAATGCGGTGGAGGGGTTTGGGTGCCTGAATAATCCCAGGAGCTATATGTCCCTGGTAGGGTCTCTCATGGCAAACAGGTCCTGGGTGACAGACCAGACAAAGGGCAGTTCATAGGCTACTTATGATGAATAAAAAAAAATCAAGGCTCTTGTTTACACTGCCCGGTATGGGGTCACCGGGGCCCAACCCTGGTGCCAGGCCTGGGGGAGGGGCTTGCATGCGAGCACCTGGTGGTCAGGCCTAAACCCACGGGGCCTGGCCCGGCTCGGCCCAAAACCATAACATGGTTATAACTCACTGGTGGGCCCACCACCTGCTGGATAGGCCGTAAGGGGCCGGTGTTTTGGGCAGTGGCCAGGGCTGAGTGTTGCATTAATACGAGCTCACCCCTGGCAACTGCTATGCTGAATGCATATAAGTTTTGTAGTCAGAGTTTGCATTGCAGCGGGACGATGAGCAAAGCAGGACATGAAATATCCAAAAGTAATCATTCTCATAAATTTATTGATTCATATATTTAAAACACTAACTACACTTGAGGCAACAAACACAACTATAAACATTGTTTTGGCTAAAGCTAAGCTAGCTAGCTCAAACAGAGAATATCAGACTCCAGTAAGGTTTAAAAACCATGGAGAATGTCATGGTTTGGGCCTACTTCCTGTTCTGTTCTTTTATTTTGAAAGAATTTCCTGTTCCATGTCATCTCATTTGCCCCAGATTTAGTCCTGCCATTGATTACCACTCATTGCCTTCATATTTATTCTCCTCACTTCCCTCAGTTAGTTTGCTGTTCATCTGTGCACCATACCTTGCATTGTTCCTGTTGTACTGCTCTCATTGTGATTATTTCTTGTGTGTTCTTTGACTCTTCCCCTTGTGCCTCATCTGTGGCCTTTAATGACTTGGATTGTTACTTACTACTTTTGGTTCTTGGTTTGTTGTGATCTTTGTTCCCCTTTGGTTCATTAGTCTCACTACATCTTTTCAGTTTCATTGTATTCGCTCCCTGATGGTGCTGTTTAGTTATTGTGTGGATGCCGTAAAGCATCCACACAATGTTCTCCTGATTATTCTGAGATCATCTGTTCATTTTTTTGGCACTTTATAAGTCCAGCATACTTTCAGCTATACAGGCCATTCAGGTGCTGAGTCAATGACACAGTCCAGGAGTGCCATCTGGTGGTCCATAAAATGCAGCGTAATTGTGACATGGCACTTCACTTGTTTTACGTGCTTTGTGGCAACCAAATGGAATAGTTTCACATCTTATTAATTTCAGCCTACTTTCAGCTAGAAAAGCCATTCAGGTATCAAAATGTTCAGCTCTTCAAGGACATTCCTACTTGTATTTACTGCATCTCATCCTTCAGATTATTCAACAAAGAACTTCGGCCATTTCCTCTCAACTATTTTAACAAAGAACTTCAGCCATTTCTTCTCATCCTTCAGCAATTGATTTCTGGCATTTTCAGGATGATCTTTCAGCATATCAGCATCCACATGCATTTATGACAGGAAATGCATTTCTCTAGGTTTTCTTAAGATGCTGTTGTGCTGCATTTTGTCAGGTTGGGCTCTTGATCTGTTTGTCTTTTTGTTTCGTGTTGCTCATCTTAAACCTTGCTTGTTACCGAACATCAGTTTGTGTCTGCATTTGGGTCCTCCCCTAGCCTGAACTCTGACAGTATAAGTCTTAAGTAGATATTTAAAAACTGCCAGGTCCATGGCCAGTAGTGATGTCCAAATGTTGCAGTGAACCAGTATCGAAACACTTCATCAGTTGTATCAAACATCAGTTCATTCATTCAAAGGTTTGTTTCAGTGACAACTAGTGGTGAAATAGGAAACAGCAAAACAATGTCTGAATTATGTGAATGCTCCATGATGGTGATCAAACAAAGTCAGCAATTATAATAACGACAGCAACTACACACACACCTACTACAATGACAAACCCACATGTTGTGCATCATTTTGGGTGCCTATATAGTGCTTTTATGCGCCTACGAACCTGCTGCGCAGCAATGTCTGGCATTATGAAGCAGTATCGACTGTTTGAACCAGTCACAGGATTCACTCCAGGGACTGAAGCAGTTTCTGCCTTGGACGTCATCGGTCACGTGTCTTTCTCGGGCAACAAAGCAGGCTTCGAAGCAGTGGTTCACGGAAAATGTCTCTTTGAGTTTGAAGCTCGTATCGGAGCCTCGGTGTCAGACAGCCATCACTATCTAACATTGAGAGGTAAATTATTCAATAGTTTAGGAGCCACTACAGCAAAAGCACTATCACCCTAGTGTTTGTGCCTGGACTTTAGTGCCTAATAAAAACAGATTTGATGACCAAAGTGATCTTGCTGGTGTGTACCACAGTATCAGATCATGGACGTATAGAGGTTCCAGTCCATTTTAAACTTGAAAAACAACATCAGTACGAGCGGTGGGAAGAAAGAGTTGAAGGGCAAAGAACAGAGCTCTGGGGTACTTCACATCAGAAAATACTTCAAGTTTTATTATAGAACACACACTGTTCTTTCATATAACTCAGAATTTAACCATGCGAGAGCCAGGCCAGAGAGATGACGTATACAGTAGCTGTGCTCCAGTTGGCCATGCTGATATGTCACTGGTTACATGGTGTAGTTAAATGTAATGGAGACCACACCCTTCCAGCATGAACTGGCATTGTGCCAGTCAGGTTTGGGAGTATAGCCAGTGAGCAGTAGATTATTTAACACATTAGTGCAGTTTCTGCGGAGTGACGGGCTTTGTAGGCAGATTGAAAAGGTTTAAAAAGATTATATGACGTGGGCTGAAAGCTGCTGAGGTGCTCTTTCTAGTGCTTTGGTCAATAATTACTTTGGAATCTGGGTCAAATTGTAGTTTCTTACACAAGTTGCTGAACCAATGTTTTCAAACTCTGAGTCAATAGCTAAACAAAGATAAATCACATTTGAACTAGGGTAAATGTTTATGGGGGAAATGAAGTATAAATGATGACCAAGGCCAAGGGATCTGGTTTAATAAAATACAATGAGTGTCAGAGTAAACATACTGTAGTTACAGATACTGAATAATTGAATGGACCATTTGGTGATACCACGGTTTCCACTCTAAACTACTACTCCTTCATTATTTACACTCCCGGAAGGATGCAGTATTCATTAACTGCTCATTCACCTGAACTGAACTGCAGGGGAAAACACTGCAAACACACGGGCACACATACAGTACAGTGTACAGGTATTGTCTTATTGCACTGATTTGTCTAGTCTGTTATAGGCTTTTGCATGCATGTTGTTTCATCATCAACTTTATTAAGGCATTCCATTCCCTCCGTCTGTTTTCTTCCGCTTATCTGAGCTCGGGTCACGGGGACAGCAGGTCTAGCATGGCCACTCAGACATCCCTCTCTCCAGCAATGCTTTCCAAGTCTTCCTGGGGAACCCCAAGGCATTCCCAGGCTAGATGAGATTGAGATATAGTTTAAACTCCTTTTTTCTTTGACTGGGGTTGGGAAACTCTGTGCCCTTGGTTCACAGTTAATGTAAGAGCAACACAAAAACTTTTCATGTCTATCTAGATCTCTTTAGAATTGAGTACTGAGGACTGAAACTAGATCAGCTGTTCTGACATGTTGCCAAAGAAGGGAGGAGCTATAGTATACTGGCAGAGGAGGTGATGTGTCCAATGAAAGGCTGTTAGGTGGAAGTTTTAAATCAACCTCATGTGTATATACTAACTTCATGTTTGTGTGCAAATATGTTCACAGTTATGTGATGATGATGCCATTCAAACGTCAGGCGCTGGTAGAGTTCTCTGCAGTGGAGAGCGCTGACCGCTGTGTGTCCTGTGGAGCCAAGGAGCCTGTATATATCGCAGGTTTGTTTCCCAGTTTTTCATTGTGAAGATTTACTGATGAGATTTATTTGTTACCTAAGCTTGTATGTAGCATAATGTTTGTATTCATATGATTTAATCAATCTGTTCATCAGGGCAACAGGCATACTTTAATTATTCCACATCCAAGAGGATCACGAGGCCAACCCACGCCGACAACCCCAACAGTGGCAACAAGGTCCTCCTGCTGTCCATACAGAACCCCCTCTACCCTATAACCACGGTAAACACACACATACATGCACCTACACATTTGTATTGTCCATACTCATGCATGGCGGTGTCATAGCCAGCCCATGATTTTATCAGCTTTTCAGTGATCTCTAAAGCACTTTCAATTGCATGACCTGTATGAAAGGTGCTATACAATCACATTTAATTGATTCTGTAATTGTATGTTGTAATGGATTGATCTAGAGCTAGGTTCGAGTCTCTACTGGTTGATTTTCAGTGGCTGCCTGGAATGTAGAAAAAACAGCAAGAAGTCTAACATACTGTTGTCACACACGGTGTTGAAACACCAGGCAGGGAGGGAATACCCAAATGCAGACTCAGCCAGGCAGGCAGGTAAAGTAGATAGATACTTTATTGAATCCGAGGGAAATTCAGGTATCCAGTAGCAACAGCAATGATTACCAGAATCACAGCACAGGAGTAAAACTAAAATACAACGGAAAAAAGTATTAAAAAGTATTGTTGTTGTTGTTGTTTGATTGTGTACAATGTGTGAACTCAGGCTTAATATTTTAATTGACCCTCTCGCACAGCCAGAAACCACGACTCACTGCTCCCGCTGTTCGTTCACTGTCTGGCACACTGCACTGCTCACATGTTTAAACAGAACCCTGGTGCGGGTGTGTTAGTTTCCAACTCTGATAAAGGTTTGTACAGTGGTGTCGGTATTTCTCCTGTTGCTGTTGGTTATGATGCTGTTCTGATGACATATTATGCAGTGCAGCCAGAGCTCGATTAGCCTCGTCCATATGCTGTATATAAATATATTATGGCCTTGTTTCAGTTGATTCTTCCCACAAAATGTGATATATCATCTGTGCCATGTTATGTTGTTGTCTTTGTATTCACACAAGTGCACTGAACTAACATCCAACTGTAGACCTGCAAGACAGCCGACCAAATTTCTGACATGCCAGAAATCCATCTGATCATTTGGGAGCTAGATTGTTTGGCATTTGGGTGAATAATAATGAGTTGAGGGTACAGAGAAATATCCAATCGGCTGTTTGAATAGCTCAGCGATGCTGTCACACACCAATCACAAACGATGTTCAAACACCGTTTGTTGATTGACAGGTCATTACTGTTTCCAGCTTATGTTACATTTTGAGATCAAGTCATCTGCTATTTTTCATTGATCTAACTCACCATTGTTTTTACATTCATTCTGATATGTCGCCTTTTTACATTCATTTGGCTTAGGTGCTCCACAGAAACACTTAGGCACTGTGCATTACGCCTCGTTATGGTAGGGAAAATCCTGCAAACACAGGTGAATTCAAACCAAACAGGTTAACGCAGGGAAACCAGGAACAGAGACATGGCAAAAAAGCTGAGGCTGAAGAGCACAAAAGCTATGATGATCACAACAATCTGAAACAGACAAATTAAAGGTATCTTCACATCACCTGCTGAGTTGACTCAAATCCCAGATTTTCTCTTCAGGTGACTCAGATCTGAACTTTTCATAGACATGTGAACAACCCAAAGCTGATCAGAATTCATGTTTTTACATTTTATAATTTTGCAAGATGTTCATTAGATGAACACTTACTTAGTAATATCAACTACAGTATTGGTGACAACATTTTATTCATACATACAATTTGTGATACCAATTATGGCATGTTTTAACCAGTCCAAAATAATAATAAAAAATTCTTTGGCAGAAATTTCTTGCTGTTACAGTGACATTTTTATAAAGAAAATAGAGGTTCTTTGTCAGTTGATCCAAATGTATTGACCAAAACACAAGGTTACTTGTTTTAGCATCATTATTGTTTGATTGTTTGTTGTGTCTGGTTGCTTTTCTTTTCTCTCTCCTCTACCCTACTCTAATTTTTTCAATAATATGAGTTGTGAAAGAGCTGAAGTGGTATCAGCATGGAGTTTTGTGGGTGACTGTGGTTCAGTGGGTAGAGTAGTTGTCTCTAAACTGGAGGGTTGGAGGTTTGAATCTCAGTGCCTGCAGTCACAATGTTGAAGTGTCCTTGGGCAAGACACTGAGCCCCCAAGTTGCCCCCGATGGTTAGAGCCATCGATGTGAGTTGGTGCCGCAGATGGCTGCCTCGGTTCTGTACCGGAAACAAATTCCTTGTGTATAACATACTTGGCCAAATAAAGGTGATTATTATTTTGCTTCTGTTTTACCACTACGGTACCTTTATGGCATTCATGAAATGCACAGTGGCTGAGACCTGCGCTTCATGCATAATAAGACGTACTTTTAGATTGTGTTGAATTTCTGTCTTTTTTCCATTTTGGTCCAGGATGTTCTGTATACAGTGTGTAACCCTATCGGCAGTGTGCTGAGGATCGTCATCTTTAAACGAAATGGCATCCAGGCCATGGTGGAGTATCCTTACTGAATATGGGAACATGTGTGTCTTTACATGCTGTGTATTTCTCTGTGTAGGGATATACAGTGTTCTCTCCTTAACAGTGCTTCTCCAGGTTTGAGTCGGTTCAGTGTGCTCAGAAGGCCAAAGCGGCTCTGAATGGAGCTGACATCTATGCTGGTTGCTGTACACTCAAGATCGAATATGCAAGGGTAAAGGACACAAGACACATCAGCATGGAAAAATTAACCTTGGTCACAGCAAGCTTCCCCCCCAGGGTGATGGCCTGGGGGTAGGGTGACTAACCTTTTAGGCTTGCAGACAAAAACAAAACAAAAGTTGACAAATGTCTGGCCACCATTTTTCCACAAGACATTCCCTCATGTGGTGTTTTGATGATGGTGATGGAGACGCTATCTAACACATGGCACCAGTATCTAACTGGGTTGAGATCTGGTGACTGTGAAGGCCACAGCATATGATTGACAGCATTTTCATCCTCAGTTAACCATTCAGTGATGGGAGCATTGTCATCCTGGAAGAGACCACTCATTTGATCATGTTTTCCCTATAATTTGTCACCCATCTGTATGTAATGATGACAATCACTAATTTCTAATATCGAATTTCCAAAGTTGTAGACAGGGTTCCACTCACAAGAGGAAGATAAGATATACAGTACTGTATGTCACCTCTGTATCAGTGGCACGAAACTGGCACGATGTTTGCATGTGATAGAGCCTGATGGCAGCAGTGTACAGGCAGAAAAGAATTAGATCCAGCACTGAACCTTAGGATACACTAGAGTGAATACTTTCTCTGAGCAGAACTCCTCACCCAATTCAGACACTGCCATGCCTTGGTAATTAGGTGATCAGACATGATTAGGGATGGAAATTAATTATATTGATATAAATGTCAATTGATCAACTCCATAAAGAGAGAGAGAAAATGTGCATGTGAGAAAGGGTATGTGTGTGTGTGGCCTTTTTTTTCCACATTTGTGGGGACCCAAAACACAGAGCCCACTAATACTGTGGGGATTTCTTCATGGGGACCAAATGCTGGTCCCCACAGAGTAAATCACTGAATTTTGGGAAACTTGGATGGCTTGGTTTAAGGTTAGATTAAGTACATTTACATAGTCATGTTGTGGGGATTTATTGTCCTTACAGGAGCACAAAGCAAGTCCCCAAATTGTAAATTATTACATTAGAGTGATGACTTGCTTTACAGTTGGGATGAAGTGAGGAATCGAACCTCTAATTCTCCGGTTAGGAAACGACCTGTTCTTACCTCCTAAGCTATCAGCCGCCCCCCAATCATGTTGATTCTGTCTAATTCTGAGTTATTCACATTTCCTGTATGAAAGACGTCTGAGTCAATAAGAGACATTTTCATCTAGCTGGGAAAAAAAGGCAAACTCAAAATTGTTTTCTGTTTGGTTTCCTTTGTAACATGGTGTTTTGGTTGTTGTAGATGAGTCACTGTTATCCCCTGAGCAGAGTCGTTTTCCTACAAGAGGAAACAGCAGTATGGATTCATCTGTATGGATTAGTGTCATCATGATACTGGAATTTCCAACTTTCATACGATACCTTGAAAAATATGCATCCATCCATCCATCCATTTTGAGTCTGGTTCAGCGGCTCTCAATGTGTATGTACATATCTCCATGCAAGGTAACAGCAAGGGGCAAGTAAACAGTACAGCAACATAAGGCTGTATAGTATAACAAAATAAACAGTATAACCAGGCAGCAAACAATGCAGACAGACAAAGGAATGTTCATTTGGAAACTAGATAAAAATAGAATAAAAATAGAGTGCTTAAAAATAGAGACCTGTACGTCCATCCATCCATCCATTTTCCTCCGCTTGTCCGGGACCGGGTCGCGGGGGCAGCAGTCTAAGCAAAGATGCCCAGACTTCCCTCTCTCCAGACACTTCCTCCAGCTCCTCCGGGGGAATGCCAAGGCGTTCCCAGGCCAGCCAAGAGACATAGTCCCTCCAGCGTGTCCTGGGTCTTCC